GATTCCTCAACCATTATCTGACAGTTTCATGACTATCTATTAGCTGAAGCTTGACCTCCTCTGTGTGAGTGTAGTATCCCCCCCCCCCTCGCTTTTGATGTATCTTATCTGTAGCCTTTTTTTTTTTTTTTTTCTTTCTCAATCCCTTCTAACATTCTGCTTAAACTTTGTGATTTGTAATAGTACTGTTTGGACTTTGAAGAAGGGGACATACCCCAAAAGCTTGTCCTCAAAATTGTATGTTAGTGCAAATAAAAAAAAGTATCACGGACAGTACTCAATTGTTGCTGTCACAAGTGCACTAATACGGCTACAATCACTTTATATACACGTTTGTGTGTGCACATGTACAACCAGGTTCAGCCACTTGGTGGCAGACTGGTTGTTCCCATTTGATTTACACATTTGTATTATATTTAAAGCACTAGTCACTTTGATTTTTATTTGTTATGTATTTATATTATATATTTTTCTGTGTAGTACCCTCATAACGGAGTGCTTCATCCAGATTTTATGATTTCCTTTGTCCTATGGTATAGGGCAGCAATGGGCAAACTATTGCTGCCCTATACTATGAATTACTATATGGGGGATGAATTACTATGGGGGATGAATTACTATATGGGGGATGAATTACTATGGGGGATGAATTACTATGGGGAATGAATTACTATGGGGGATGAATTACTATATGGGGGATGAATTACTATGGGGGATGAATTACTATATGGGGGATGAATTACTATGGGGGATTAATTACTATATGGGGGATGAATTACTATGGGGGATGAATTACTATATGGGGGATGAATTACTATATGGGGGATGAATTACTATATGGGGGATGAATTACTATAAGGGATGAATTACTATATGGGGGATGAATTACTATAGGGGGGATGAATTACTATGGGGGATTAATTACTATGGGGGATGAATTACTATATGGGGGATTAATTACTATATGGGGGATGAATTACTATGGGGGATGAATTACTATTGGGGATGAATTACTATATGGGGGATGAATTACTATAGGGGGGATGAATTACTATGGGGGATTAATTACTATGGGGGATGAATTACTATGGGGGATGAATTACTGTGGGGGATGAATTACTATGGGGGATGAATTACTATATGGGGGATGAATTACTATATGGGGGATGAATTACTATGGGGGATGAATTACTATGGGGGATGAATTACTATATGGGGGATGAATTACTATGGGGGATGAATTACTATGGGTGATGAATTACTATATGGGGGATGAATTACTATATGGGGGATGAATTACTATATGGGGGATGGATTACTATATGGGGGATGGATTACTATATGGGGGATGAATTACTATGGGGGATGAATTACTATATGGGGGATTAATTACTATGCTTACTATGGGGGAATATTACTATACTTACTATGGATGACACATACACATCATTCATCTACTCTTGGTCCGGCCCCCGGGTCCAATATATGAACCCATTTCGGCCCTCAAGTCAAAAAGTTTGCCCACCCCTGGTATAGGGTATAGATGATAGCAGCTAGTTATATTTAATTATTGTGTGGAGTGCAGGAGGATATTTATATTGTTCACTAATGTTCTCTAACAAACCTCTGAGGGCTTCACAGAACAGCTATATTTATACTGAGAATAAATCATACTATCACGTACCTGGTGATGGAGGCCAATGAAGAGAAAGCTTCCCTTGCGGCTAAGTTCCAGACTCCCCTGAGAGTGGGACAGCGGGAGTCAGGCCCAAAGTTGCACAGGTCGCCTGTAGGAGTGCTGGTTGGTGGTCCACTCAGAAGCACAGCTGGTGCACGGAGATGAGGTCTGCAGACAGGAGGCGCCTGTGCGAGGTATGCAAGCCCTTCCGAGAATGGAGGATTACTGGGTAGTCAGTTCAAGCCAAGGTCAGGTACCGGGTGGGAATCAGAGCAGACGTAGTCAGATGGGATAGCTGATGTCATACACAGAGGAGCAGGAGAGAGAGAGAGTATCCGTTAGCCAAGCCGAGGTCATACACAGAAGAGCGAGAGAGAGAGTATCCGTTAGCCAAGCTGAGGTCAGATCAAGGGCTAAGCAGAGTATACAGGTCCAGGAGCAAGCCGAGTCGGTATCGGGAAGTCACAGGTCATGATAAATAACACAGGAACCAGGAACAAGGTACGGGGAGCTAGAGATCATCCAGCAACTTGAGGGAGTGAAGAGCCTCCTTATAAAGGCCGTTTGGCGCCAAAACTGGGCCTGATGCGTGTATTTCTGCGGCCATGTAGGGTACTGGCGGAAATTCCCGGTCTTCCAGGACTTCTGCCATGGATAGGGCCCTGACATATATGCAGGCGGACTCTATTTACTAATTAGGTGACTTCAGAAGGCAATTGGTTCCACTAGATTTTAGTTAGGGTATCAGAGTAAAGGGGGCTGAATACAAATGCATGCCACACTTTTCAGATATTTGTTGGAAAACATTTTGAAAACCATTTATCATTTTCCTTCCACTTCCCAATTATGTGCCACTTTGTGTTGGTCTATCACATAAAATCCCAATAAAATACATTTACGTCTTTGGATCTAACATGACAACACGGGGAACATATCAAGGGGGAGGAATGCTTTTTTCAAGGCACTGTAAGATAGCTCTCATTGACTAACATGGGATTTCACGTGTCACAAGTCGGATCCCAAGTCGCAGCAGTGTGAACCGAGCCTTAACATGTTGGCGGACATCGCTCTGCTGTTCAGGACCAGTGCAGTAAGGAGCTGGGGGTGTCCCTGCCAGAGACAAATGCGCTGAGGAAGAACCAACCCCAGGGGACCTTCAGTGCCAGAGTCTGGGAAGTGGTGAGGGGAAGCTGGGGGTCGGTTATGAGCTGCAAAGGGAACCTGTCCCCCACCAGAACTGCCCTAACAGCTTCTATTGGACTTATACTTCCACAGGAGCTGGAGAGACCTGACAAAACTCCATTCATAATGTGTGAGGATAGTGAAGAGAACCTGTCATATCACAGCTGTTAGAGAACCACAACTCCCAGCATGTCCTGACTTCTGCTGAACTTCCATAGAACTGATACCATGTATATATGTTGTATATAGAACTTATACAGTATTGTGTCCTTAACACTGTCCTGAAGTGAGCTCCCTGACAGCTTCTGCTGGTATTTGTCCTTCCCCTAGGGTTGTCACCTGTCCGCAATTCACCTGGATGATCCAGGTTTTAATCTGCCTGATACCTGAACCCATTATCCATACCAGACCATGGGTGTAGCTTCCATGTTAGGTAGGTTTTACAGGGCCCCATGATTTCTAACAGTTGCAATGCCAGCTCCCTCTCCTGTCACAGAGGATCTGTGTGTGATTCGACATAGTCACACACAGATCCCATTGCTGGAGCTGTGCATGGAGCCATGCAGACAGCCGGCCCCTTCAGAGAAACCAATCCCACCCAGGGGCGGACTGACCATTTGGAAACTCGGGCACTGCCTGAGGGCCCGGGGTCAGTAGGGGGCCCCATGAGATGCCCCTTGTATCTTTTTCATAGGCTTTTTTGAGCTTGGGCAAGGACACAGGGGCCACATGATCCCCTATTGCCCGGGGGCCCCCATGAGTTGTCAGTCTGCCCCTGATCCCACCTCCATGGTCTCCGCAGCTCCGGCACATTTTTTGTGTTAAAAGATCACAGTTATATGTTATTGGACATTATTTGAGTTTTTTTTGTCATTTTAGATTCACATATGTATAGAAGTGTGGTTGTTTCTTTCTTGCAGAGTTTCTGTTCGCTATTTGTCATATATATATTTATATAGGAGTTGGCACCAGGGGCGGACTGACCATTTGGAAATGCGGGGGGACTGCCCAAGGGCCCGGGGTCAGTAGGGGGCCCCATGAGATGCCCCTGGTACCTTTTTCATAGGCTTTTTTGAGTTTGGGCAAGGACACAGGGGCCCCATGATCCCCTATTGCCCGGGGGCCCCATGAGTTGTCAGTCCACCCCTGGTTGGCACTGAACACTGATGTATTGTTTTTTCCCTTTATTATAAGGGGTCACATATTAATCACTTCAAGTCCCATATAGGGACAGGGGGTGGTTTGATTTTTTTCCATTAGGAAAAAGGGATTCACTAGATTTGAAACAGGTTATCCTGTGTATTTCACCTTAGTTGCACTTGATTGGATCCGATAGGATCAGAGCATGGTGTGTATTTATTACATTTTGTAAATATTACACTGTATATATTTCATGTATAGATATTTATGTGGTAGTAGTACTATTGTCACATTCTAGTATTATTGTACACTCAGCATGGATGTCACATCACTACCTTAACCCCTCGCCTACCGGGCACTTCTACCCCCTTCCTGCCTACAGGGCACTTCTACCCCCTTCCTGCCTACAGGGCACTTCTACCCCCTTCCTGCCTACCGGGCACTTCTACCCCCTTCCTGCCTACAGGACACTTATACCCCCTTCCTGCCTACAGGGCACTTCTACCCCCCCCTTCCTGCCTACAGGGCACTTCTACCCCCTTCCTGCCTACAGGACACTTATACCCCCTTCCTGCCTACAGGGCACTTCTACCCCCTTCCTGCCTACAGGACACTTATACCCTTCCTGCCTACAGGACACTTATACCCCCTTCCTGCCTACAGGGCACTTCTACCCCCTTCCTGCCTACAGGACACTTATACCCCCCCTTCCTGCCTACAGGGCACTTCTACCCCCTTCCTGCCTAGGACCAATTTCCAGCTCTCAGCGCTGTCGCACTTTGAATGACAATTGCGCGGTCATGCAACACTGTACCCATATGAAATATTTATCATTTTTTTGTGACAGAGCTTTCTTTTGGTGGTATTTATTCACCTCAGGGATTTTTATTTTTTCTTAAACAAACCAAAAACCACTGAAAATTTTGGAAAAAAAATTTTTTTTCCTTAGTTTTTGTTATAAAATTTGGTAAATAAGTGATTTTTCTCCTTCACTGATATACGCTAATGAGGCTGCAGTGGTGGGCACTGATAGGTAGCACTGATAGGCTGCACTGATGGACACTGATGAGGAGGCACTGGTAGGTGACACTGATGGGCATTGACAGGCATCACTGATGGGCACTGAAAGGCAGAACTGATACATGGCACTGACATATGGCACTGATAGGCAGCACTGATAGGCAGCACTGACTGGCACTGTTAGGTGGCACTGACTGGCACTGATAGGCGGCATTGATGCACACTGATAGGCGGCACTGACTGGCACTGATAGGTGGCACTGATTGGCAGCACTGATAGGTGGCACTGATTGGCATTGATAGGTGGCACTGACTGGCACTGATGGGTGACACTGAAAGGCAGCTCAGATGGGCACTGATATGTGGCATTGATGTGCACTGGTAGGCACTTATATGTGGCATTGATGTGGCACTGATGAGCACTGACAAAAGGCACTGATGGACACTGACAGGTGGCACTGCTGGGGCTTCACTGAACATCAGGGCACACTGATCATCAGTGCCCTGATGATCTGTGTAGATGTCCCCTCCGCAGAAAGCCGATTACCGGCTCTCCTCTCCTCTGTCAGTGTGACAGCTCAAGGGGAGAGAAATGCCGATAACTGGCATTTCCCTGTTTACATGTGATCAGCAGTGATTGGACACAGCTGATCACATGACCGAGCCAACATCTTTGGCTCTTTCCGTGATCGGTGATCCGCTGTGTCCAAAGGACACAGCGCACCGCCGATTGCCGTGCTACGCGCTCCCTGAGCCGCGCATGCGCAGTGAGAATGGGAGGACATCCTATGATGAGAGAACCACCTTGTGCCTGTCATTGGACTATATGGCGGGCGGGAGGTGGTTAAACTCAATCTTTCAAAAACTGAGCTTGTAATATTTCCTCCCCCCCGATCCCCCACTCATGACTTTACCATTAAGATCAACAGCACAATCATTGGTCCTTCCCCTCATGCCAGGGCGCTCGGTGTAATCCTAGACTCTGACCTCTCTTTTGGGCCCCACATCCAATCACTGACTAAATTCTGCCGCCTCTACCTCCGGAACATTTCCAAAATCCGCCCCTTCCTGACCAGTGACACCACAAAGCAACTTATCCACGCCTTGGTTATATCCCGCCTCGATTACTGCAACTCCCTCCTCACTGGTCTGCCGTTACACAGGCTATCCCCCCTTCAGTCTATTATGAATGCTGCCGCTAGACTCATCCACCTTACCAACCGATCAGCGACTGCTGCCCCTCTCTGCCAATCCCTCCACTGGCTGCCACTAACCCAACGTATAAAATTCAAAATAATACCCACAGCTTACAAAGCCATCCACAACACTGCCTCTAGCTGCATCACCAACCTCATTCACAGATATCGCCCAACACGCCCACTCCGCTCCTCCCATGATATCCTTCTCTCTAGCTCTCTCATCACCTCCTCCCACGCTTCCCTCCAGGACTTCTCCAGAGCCTCTCACATCCTCTGGAACTCCCTACCACAGCATGTCCGGTCAGCCCCCACCCTGTCTGCCTTTAGGTGAGCTTTGAAAACTCACTTCTTCAGGGAAGCCTACCCCACCTCCACCTAAGAACTGTACTTGCATCACCTCCGCCAGATCATCCCCCACAGCTATTACCTTTTGTATCACCTCCCCCTTCCTTTAGATTGTAAGCTCCACGAGCCGGGCCCTCCTATTCCTTCTGTACAGAAATGTATTGTAATTGTACTGTCTCCCTTATATTGTAAAGCGCTGCGCAAACTGTTGGCCCCATAAATCCTGTATAATAATAATACACACACATAGCAGTTCACCAGTTATTCATCCATTGTCATTTCACCTGCTTGAAGACCCATGACCTCTGACAGAGACCCAGCTTTCTGACACCGGGCCCTACATTGCACCCCAGAATTTTTTGGTAGCCTTCAGATTTCATAATGCCATGCACACGGTCAAGACATCCAGTGCCTGAAGCAACAAAGCAACCCCAAAACATCAGTGACCCCCCACCATGTGGGACTGTATTCTTTTCTTTAAAGGCCTCATTGCTTTTTCTGAAACCAGTAGAATGATGGGCTTTACCAAAAAATGTTGTTTCGTCTGTCCACAGCACATTCTCCCAAAAGGATTTTGGCTTCCTCAGGTAAGTTTTGGCAAACTCCAATCTGGCTTTTTTATTTTTTTGTGTCAGCAGTGGGGTCCTCCTGGGTCTCCTACCATATTTCTGTGTCAGCGGTGGGGTCCTCCTGGGTCTCCTTCCATATTTCTGTGTCAGCAGTGGGGTCCTCCTGGGTCTCCTACCATATTTCTGTGTCAGCGGTGGGGTCCTCCTGGGTCTCCTTCCATATTTCTGTGTCAGCGGTGGGGTCCTCCTGGGTCTCCTACCATATTTCTGTGTCAGCGGTGGGGTCCTCCTGGGTTTCCTACCATATTTGTGTGTCAGCGGTGGGGTCCTCCTGGGTCTCCTACCATATTTCTGTGTCAGCGGTGGGGTCCTCCTGGGTCTCCTTCCATATTTCTGTGTCAGCGGTGGGGTCCTCCTGGGTCTCCTACCATATTTCTGTGTCAGCGGTGGGGTCCTCCTGGGTCTCCTTCCATATTTCTGTGTCAGCGGTGGGGTCCTCCTGGGTCTCCTACCATATTTCTGTGTCAGCAGTGGGGTCCTCCTGGGTCTCCTACCATATTTCTGTGTAAGCGGTGGGGTCCTCCTGGGTCTCCTACCATATTTCTGTGTCAGCGGTGGGGTCCTCCTGGGTCTCCTACCATATTTCTGTGTCAGCGGTGGGGTCCTCCTGGATCTCCTACCATATTTCTGTGTCAGCGGTGGGGTCCTCCTGGGACTCCTACCATATTTCTGTGTCAGCGGTGGGGTCCTCCCGGGTCTCCTACCATATTTCTGTGTCAGCGGTGGGTTCCTCCCGGGTCTCCTACCATATCTCTGTGTCAGCGGTGGGGTCCTCCTGGGTCTCCTACCATATTTCTGTGTCAGCGGTGGGGTCCTCCCGGATCTCCTACCATATTTCTGTGTCAGCGGTGGGGTCCTCCTGGATCTCCTACCATATTTCTGTGTCAGCGGTGGGGTCCTCCTGGGTCTCCTTCCATATTTCTGTGTCAGCGTTGGGGTTCTCCTGGGTCTCCTACCATATTTCTGTGTCAGCAGTGGGGTCCTCCTGGGTCTCCTACCATATTTCTGTGTCAGCGGTGGGGTCTTCCTGGGTCTCCTACCATATTTCTGTGTCAGCGGTGGGGTCTTCCTGGGTCTCCTACCATATTTCTGTGTCAGCAGTGGGGTCCTCCTGGATCTCCTACCATAGCATCCCTTTTCATTCAGATTGTGATGTATAGTGCGAGCTGACACAGGTGTACCCTGTGCCTGAAGGGCAGCTTGAATTTGTCTGGAAAGATCTTTAGCCACCATTCCAACAATCCTTCGTTGCAATATTTGATGAATTTTTCTGCCCAGAAAATTGTTACAATTACAAACGTTTAGCATTCTCATGTTTGTTTCAATTCTTTGTATTGGTTTCACACAAGAAAGTTGTGAAACACAGTTATGTATAACATCTCTTTCATATATGGGAGGTTATCACACAGGCTTCCCACAAAGGAAGGAAGTGATCACAGCTGAAACAATCTTTTTCACACCTCATATTACATTAAATAACTTGCTCTGATTGTGTGAGACTGCCAAGTTAAAGCACTCAACAGCGAAAGGTCCACTTATATGCTTCCTTACCTTGCCCTGCGGTCCCCTGATCCTTACCTTGTCCTGCGATCCCCCGATCCTCACCTTGTCCTGCGATTCCCCCGATCCTTACCTTGTCCTGCGATCCCCCGATCCTTACCTTGTCCTGCGATTCCCCCGATCCTTACCTTGTCCTGCGATTCCCCCGATCATTACCTTGTCCTGCGATTCCCCCGATCCTTACCTTGTCCTGTGATCCCCCGATCCTTACCTTGCCCTGCAATCTCCTGATCTTTATCTTGTCCTGCGGTCCCGCAACGTCCTCCGGCCATGTCCTACGGCCGATGCCGGCATCCGTCATTCCCTGCGAGCGTCGGGACATAGGAGGGCGGAACCGGCAGGAGATTAAAAAAAGTAAAAATTTGACATACACACAATACACTGTAATCTGTTAAGATTACATTCCTGTATCAAACCATTTCACATACATTTTGTCCCGAGTGCTTTGTCCGGCGCCCTGCCTGCATTTTTACTGTTGTTTCTTCCTGGAAACTGAGAAACGTCCATGGCGTCCAAAAAGCGTCCCTTTAGGTCAAAAGCGGTTTTAGACCGGCTAGAGAACAGCGATAGTAAATCAGAACCACTTGCAGAATTGAGTGATAATGATTCGTGGGGGAAATTCCTCATCAGACACTGAAAACGTATCTGCGACTGAGCTCAGTGATGTGCGAACTTTCTGTTTCAAATTTCAGTGCCTTTGGTTTGATTACATTATTGAATTAAATTTATTATTATATTATTATTTTTTAGAATTATTTATTATATTATAATTTATGATTTCGTGTTTCAAACTGTATCATACCCGGGATGTTTACTAGACTCTTGTTCATACAGATTTCAGTGAGTTTTTCCTAAGAATTACAGGCAATATAAAACAACAAATTTCGATGAAGAACAATGTACCGCTTTGACATTCAAAAATATTGATTAGTTAGACCGCCAGGCAGGGCCAGATCTAGTGAGGTGCTGGGGTGGGTTGTGCCCCCCCAGGTTTTAGCTGTGCCCCCCCAGATCTCCTAGAATGATCCACTAATCCATGAGCCAGTCTGATGCAGACAGTTGATGTAAGGAGGCAGTCTGATGGGGACAGCTGATGTAAGGGGGCACTCTGACGGTGACTCTGATGGGACACCCGATGTAAGGGGGCACTCTGATGAGGACACCTGATGTAAGGGGGCAGTCTGATGGGGACACCTGATGTAAGGGGGCAGTCTGATGGGGACACCTGATGTAAGGGGGCAGTCTGATGGGGACACCTGATGTAAGGGGGCAGTCTGATGGGGACACCTGATGTAAGGGGGCAGTCTGATGGGGACACCTGATGTAAGGGGGCAGTCTGATGGGGACACCTGATGTAAGGGGGCAGTCTGATGGGGACACCTGATGTAAGTAGGCACTCTGATGGGGACACCTGATGTGAAGGGGCACTCTAATGGAGACTCTGATGGGATACCCGATGTAAGGGGGCACTCTGATGAGGACACCTGATGTAAGTGGGCAGTCTGATGGGGACACCTGATGTAAAGGGGCACTCTGATGGGTACTCTGATGGGACACCTGATGTAAGGGGGCACTCTGATGGGGACACGTGAAGTAAGGGGGCACTCTGATGGGGACACCTGATGTAAGAGGGCACTCTGATGGGGACACCAGATGTAAAGGGGCACTCTGATGGGTACTCTGATGGGACACCTGATGTAAGGGGGCACTCTGATGGGGACACGTGAAGTAAGGGGGCACTCTGATGGGGACTCTGATAGGACACATGATGTAAGGGGGCACTCTGATGGGGACTCTAATGGGACGGCTGATGTAAGAGGACACTCTGATGGGGACACCTGATGTACAGGGGTACTCTGTTGGGGCCCCTTGACATAAGGGGGCACTCTGATAGGAACCCTGATGTAAGGGGGAACTCTGATAGAGACCCTGATGTAAGGGGGCATTCTGTTGGGGACAGTTGATGTAAGGGGAACTCTG